CGGCTCGAGAGGTTGCTTTACAGCATCGGACCGGATGAACACATGCGAGAATTTTTCGATGCCCTTGAGTAAAAACATTTTCTCCTTAACACGGTGGACTGTTGGGCTTGGTCGTATCTGACGTATGTGTTGTCGGAGATAGTTCAGGAATGTTGCTGATGCCACATCTGCTTCGACGTCATCAAAAAATTCATTAGGGACTCGTAGTGGTGCGCCATACAGCATTTCAGCGGTGGATGCTCCCAAGGATTCTTTATAACAGGAACGCAGTCCAAGCAAAACAGTTGGTAATAGATCAATCCAGGGCAACTCGTCATTGCACATGAGCGCCGCCTTGAACGTTCTGCGCCACCGTTCAACCAACCCATTGGACTGCGCGTAATAAGCCGTGGTAAGGATGTGCTTGCTTCCCATAAGCTTCGCCAGTTCTTTGAATACAGCTGACTCGACCTGCGTCCCTTGATCCGTCGTAATCGTCTTTGGAGTCCCAAAGCGTGCTACCCAATGCGTCCAAAAAGCAGTTGCAACAGTTTCTGCAGTGATGTTTGTTAATGGCACGGCTTCTGGCCAACGAGAAAACCGATCAATCATCGTGAGGCAGTATCGAAAATTTCGTCGTAACGGCATGACCACAATGTCTAGGTGTACATGGTCGAAACGAGCGTCTGGAACAATAATCTTTTCTGGCGTTAGATGATTATGCCTGCTGATTTTTGCCCGTTGACAAGGTAAACAGCTTCTGCACCACTGAATCACATCCTTATTCATCGCTTGCCAGACATATGTCTGACGTATTTGTTGTAGCGTTGATCTGCCACTCGGATGAGCGAGACCATGAACAGAGGCAAACACTTGATGTCGTAGGCTTCCCGGAACATAAGGACGAACGTAGCCGGTCGAGGTGTCACAGTAAAGCGTTACATTGTCGCCGTACCTTATTGACTTCAACTTTAACGATGTGCTTCCGTTTAGCAACTGTGTTAGTTCAAGGTCAGCAGCCTGGGCCTCGGCGATTTTACTTAAATTGACAGCCGTCGGCATAGTGATTGTGCATAACCTAGACAAGGCGTTTGCGACAACGTTGTCTGCGCCCTGCACATGAACGATTGCGGTGGAAAACTGTGAAATGTAATGTAATGTAATGTGTGTGTGTAATGTGATGCTTTTTCTAGCCGCTGCTTAAATGCATAAACTAGAGGCTTGTGATCCGTTTTGATCACAAAGATGCGTGCTTAAATCAAGTGCTTGAAATACCTGATAGCCTCGTAGATTGCAAGCAATTCCCGATCGTATGTGCTATAATTCTTCTCCGATTCGCTCAGTTTCCTTGAAAAGAACCCAAGTGGTCGCCAATCCTCATCCGTCTGCTATTCCAAAACTGCCCCCACGGCGACATCAGACGCATCATACACCAGAGCCAATTTCGCTCCGGGATCTGGGTACGGCAGTTGTGCAGCATCAGCCACA